AGGATCCCCTTTCACTGACATTGGAGGTCATAAAGACTGCTGTGATAACTGTAGGAGATTGTAAGTGGGTGTGGTCAATATTGATTAATTAATTATTGGCTCCACCCACTCATTAGTTTACGAGGTGATATTCAAATTAAAACAAATTATTCAAAAGATGCCAAACTGTTGATGGACATGATTAAAGTATTCATTAATTAATATTTAATTAATTATTTATTTATTAATTAGGCTTTGAGAAATGATTATGGTATTACAATGACAGTATCAATTTTAAGAGGATCAGTATGTTATTAATTAATTAATTAATATTCATAGTGTTACTATTTTTAGAAAGCACAAAAGATTCCAAAGTACATATTGAAGCATCCAGTGCATGGGAAAGGATTGTAAGTATTATTAATTAATTATTTATTTAATTATAGTTAATTAATAGACATCATTCTGAGAAATGGTGGAAGTCATTTGGTAAAAATATTAAATTTAAACTTTCTATCACCTCCTCTCCCTCTCTCTCTCCCTCTCCTTCAGCTGGTGTACTTATTTCTGGTCATTATTTAAGAGAAGAGTCCGTTCCTAATGGTTTTGGTAGTACAGTGTCTTTATCAAGTAATTATATTCATTTATATAATTTTTTATTCTATTTGTTAAGTTAAAGGGAGCAGGTGGTATGACAGGTTTGAATCTGATCCAGACGGTACAACAATTGATGTAATACCAACCAATGACATGATAGCGTACGATAAAGAACAACAAAAACAACAAAAGTAATTATAAACTATTTATTTATTTATTTATTTATTTATTTATTTATTTATTTATTTATTTATTTATTTATTTATTTATTTTATTTGTATATTTTTAGTTCAATAATTCATTCAAGTCTTAATCCAAAATATGCCGCATCAGCAGCAGACACGGTAATTAATTAATTAATTAATTAAGTAATTAATATTCATTATTATTATTATTAATAGTTTACAGCCAGCAGTGATTCCTCATTGATAATTCCATTGAAAGATGATCCTTCAAGTTACAATGTATTATTAGTTAACATGAAGAATATGGGTGGGGCAGTGGGTGGAGCTAATGTCCCAATTAAAGACAAAGAGACTGAAGCATTGGAGGTACGTTAACTAATTAATATTATTAATTAATTGGTGGGTGTGTCATTATTTCAGAGTGCACTGTATGAGGAGCTGGTCAGTTATAGAAACCAAATGGCTCATGAAACTGACATACCTCCTTTCATGATAGCGTCAAACAAACTACTAGGTATGTTATTAATAATGCTATTATTATTATTATTATTATTATTAGGTAATCTGTCTTTATCTCGTCCTACTACTGAGGATTCATTGCGATTGATTGATGGAGTCTCTCAACAATTTATTACCAAATTTGGAATGAAATTACTAACAAAGATAAAAGAATACTGTACAGCTCATCCCACCCTGAGGACTGACACTGAACTGAGCAAAGGAAGAGAAGATACTGACACTAATACTGGGGAAATACAAGTAATAATAATAATTCTTTCTGATGCATATACATGTGCTTATTATTGCACAGAAAGTTTGAGAAGATTTTGGAACCTTTTTTTCCAAAAAATGGCTCTGAAATCACCCCCAATTTTTATTATATTGATGTCCTTATGCTGTGTAGAAAGTTTGAGCTGATTCCGACTATAATTTTTCAAGTTATGGCCATTTTAAGAAAATGTCAAAAATCTGAAAAAATCCCTGTACTATAGCCCATGGTTTTTTTTCAAAAAATGGCTCCGAAATCACCCCAAATTTTTATTACATTTTCTGATACATATTGATGCCCTTATGCTGTCCAGCAAGTTTGAGCTGATTCCGACTTCAATTTTTCAAGTTACAGCCAACTTAACCTCATCCTCTTTAGGTCGCCATAAAGGTTCGTAAGTCCATTATTGGTCCAATAAGTGAAAAGAATGGATCCTATTATGATTCATATACAAGGGAAGGACTCAGTGTGGTAAGACCAGATATAGAGGATTGAGATATTTATTTGTTGTTATTATTATTAATTATTGTAGGAGGAGATAGCTTCAAGACGTGGTGTTCAAGTTCAGACTGTCATTGGACACTTAGTGGATTGTTATGAAGCTGGGTACATGCTCAACTATAGAGAATGTAAATATTAATAATAATATTAAAATCATTATAATTATTAATTATTATTATCATTAGTGGGGTTTACTGAAGAGATTGAGAGGCTCATTACTGACACTATAAGGAGGCCACCAATATCTTCAGGTACCTCAAAATTTAACGGATAACCTTTCATTATTTTAACGGGTGACCTTTTTTAATTTTACAGACGTAGGAAGATTAAAGCCAATTAAAGAACAGTTACCAGAACACATTGAGTACTGGCAGATAAGAATGACAATAGCACTACTGATGGTCTCCAGTGGGTTCATTAGGAATAAACTAACTACAACACCATCACTGACATCACCTACTGTAAGAATTACCAGTGGGTCATAATAAATTATAAATTATTTTCTGAGCAATTTTCTAATTTGACGCCTTGTTAACACTTACAATGTGTTAACAACAACAGGAAGTGCTCAAAAATTTATTTTTAATTCAATAATAATTATAATTTCTTTGTTTTCCAGTTATCATCAGGTTCTTCTGGTACAGCTAGTAAGAGATCCTTACCAAACACTTTTAAAAGGAGCCACTCCTACAGCAGCAGCAGCAGTGGGTATGGTAGAGGATACTACACTGGGTCTAACAAGAAAGCAAGGAAGTTCTTTTGAACTAACTCTACAACCAAAGAACACTTCATTTATCAGCTACTATTATTATCATCCTTCATTTAATCTCATTTATTGATTAACACATTTCATTATTGTTGGAATAATTGTCATTTCATTTATTGTTGTTCTGTAAAATGACATTAACAGTGACATCAGTGTATTCTTGTTTGTATTTTTGGTAGAATCTTTTCATGTTTGTATGGGTGAAACTTTGTTTATTGGGAAGTGGCTAACTGATATTGCAGGCATGACGTCATGTGTCGTCGTCAATTCAATTCAATAATTATGGTTGATTATTATATTAAAATTAATCTATTCTGTCACTTCACATGTAATGCATGTAGCCATAGATACTACTGTGCTTTGCAGGTTGCTTGACCTAGCAAACTCATTAATCATGTGACTTTCTCCATACTAATAATACATATCACGTGAGCAGGAAGTAAGAAATTGGGTCAAGCAACCTGCAAGCACGGTACCATGCTTTGCAGGTACCGTGCACGTGACATGCATTATTAGTATGGGGAAAGTCACGTGATTACGAGTTTGCAAGGTCAAGCAACCTGCAAAGCACGGTACAGCCCTTGCACAAAA